ACACCAAGCAATTTCTGACCCTACTAACGGGCGTGTGTACGTGACTTCATCGATAGTTCTAGGCTTCTGCTCATTATAACGGACTACTCGTTGCAGAAACTACGTCGACGTTGCAACATCTAAAGCTCAGAATCTAACCTACGCGTCTGATAGCACCTTCATCCTGCGCGCGGATGCTACCACCGTCTTAAACGCGAACGGGCCTGGTCGCAACTCTGTTCGTCTGCAATCAAACAAGCAGTATGGCAGCAATACCGCTATGGTGTAAGTAATACGAAAACGGTGAAAAGCTCGATGTTGATTTGTCCGTTCCAGATTTAACATAAGGCATATGCCACAAGGATGCGGGTTCGTAGTTTGTGACATGGTGGAGTCTACGTTAATTCAGCGTTTCTTTCAGCACTTGGCCTGCGGTTTGGACTGTGGGCCCTAACTGGCCGAACGGGGTGAGATTTTGTTGAGGCCCTATAAAAATCACATGCTAACTAAAACAATTTTTAGGGAGAAATAGACATTATTGAAGGTGTTAACAACCAAGCAAGCAATCAGGCAACTTTGCATACCTCATCTGGTATGTTCATTCCGTTTTCCGTGCCCGGACCGGTTTCTTATATGAAATTTCAAGGATGTACAATGCCTAGCAGTTCACGCACTCAGTCCGGGTATTTGTGCTTTCTTCTCGATCAGCCCCAATTCTCATTGAAACCCACTTTAGAGTTGCTCTGACAAACGACTGCAACGTAAATGCTAATAACAATGCGGGCTGTGGCGTACAGTTACAGAACTCGGTTAGCTACGGAGCGGGTTTTAATAACAACGGTGGAGGCTGGTTCGTCCCCCACTGACGTTTTGGAAACTACGATTAATTGCGGATTCTTAGGTATGCCTTGGAATGGACCGACTCGTTCATCAAGGTATGGTTTTGGGCCAGAAATGCTCCCAATGTTCCCACTGGAGTCCGTACTGGTGGCAGTGCTGTCATTACCGACAATTGGGTCAGAATTTTTCTCATCTGGAAATTCCATTATCTCAAAGCGCCATAGGGAACCCCTGCCGCATATTTCCCGAACACCTCTTGCTCATTGACTAGTCATTTCAGCCCCCAGAATATCATTATCAATTGTAAGCGTGGATATATGACAACGTTTTCGCGAATTAATCTAGGTGAATTGTCTCAGTGACTTTCTGTGAGTACCCCTTTCTTCGTTTCTCTCCCATTTGTCTCACAACTTTCTTAGGCGGTGATTGGGCTGGAAACGTTTATGCAAGCTCTGGTTGTCCCTCCTCCTGTGTTGGTGAGTGAACAGCTCAATTGAAAGCGGCGATGAAACTAATTTTTTAACAAGACTTTGTCAACAAGAACCCTGGCGCCTTCGCCGATGCTTACTTCGATTTCGCTTGGGTGAAGGTTTACAGCTGATCTAACTATGATACCCTTTTTATTTTTGTATACCATAATAACGTAACGCGATAGTTCAAGATACTCATGCCTTTTCTGACTTCTTCTGATTCATACGGTGAAAGATAACTGGTTTCCATAAAATCGTTACAATATTCAATTCCTTAGTCCGGATGGACGGAAGAAGAAAATGGAACGATTAAATATGGGACGAGATCTGTTAATCTATCAGTTTATAGGAGGTATAACATGAAATTTAGAAGTTTTGTGGACCCTAGCGTACTTTCGCCGATGATAAGAACCTCACTCTTCTTATAGCTACATTAACCGACTTTATCGGCGCATTGCATAAGGGATAAATGCTTATCAGGAAGAAAAGCAAATGAAAGACATTGTAGGATATCGAAAGTACATTCTGAGTGGTGTTGGTTCTTGCTCTGCTTCGACCACTATTACGTACTTGTGTACCGTTGTGGGTGCCGGTTTCCACCTGAACAAAATACAGGCAATACGAAAAAAATTAATAATTTAAATAAAACAAAGTATACGACTACCCAAACCTCATCATGATCATTTCTGATTCCTCAGGACTAGACATGACCTCCTGCCTTCGCAGTCCGTACTCGTCCAATCTCTGCTTTCGTCCTGCTTTGCCCCTACCACCTCGTTTGCTGATCCACTCCACCCCGAGTAACTCCATAGCACTCCCATCATGACCTGTTCCCCATCCACAACTCATCAATCCCCGTCCATCATCCTCTTCACCCTCGCCCTCACCTTCACCCCATCCACCCAAAAATCGGCCGATAACCTCCTCTTTGGAATGCCCGATCTCTGGACCTCTTCCTGAAACCCGGATGATCCTTATACGTACTCTCAAATCATTTCCTTCCTTCTTCGCCTTTCTTGCACCGCTATATGTGACCCAACCTGCGTGCACAGCGCACGAAAAGATATCTGAATCGTCCGTATAAACTCTCCTCTCCGAATCACCGCCACCCCATATCTTGGTTTTCCCCGGTGGTGGCCGTGAATCGGGAAAGAATCCATTCGGCACGAGGACTTCAGCAATCCGCTCACAGTCCACGATGATTGCATCTTCCTCGCCTTCCTTTACTGGATTCGGTAACGGCGGGAATTCCTCTTTGGGTGTCGGCGGAGGGAAGTGAAATGGGAATGGTACCTTAGGCCAAATATATGTTCCCAGGTGTAGTTTTACCTTGCTTCGAACCGGACGGGATAGCCTCGGTCTCTTTCCTCCCCGAGAGTCTCGTACCATATCTCGCTCCCGTTTCTTGTTGGAATTGTCAAAAACCATCCCTTGAGGTCCTCCCACTGGAATGCCGGCTGGACCAGAGGCGGCCGGAACGAACTGCGTGTGAAACTGATTCTGGAATTGTCGCTGAGGAAGCGAGCCTGGTGTAAAAGGCTTAGGTGTATGTCGGTCCATACGTTCTCGGTCCATACGTTCCCTCTCCATGCGATCCCTCTCCATCCGCTTCGCCTAATTGCTCAGCACGCTCCCTTTCGTCAACATTTGATCGCGTAGAGTTAATGGGGGTAGGATTAATCGGTCTGGACGCCGTTTTGTCATCTGAAAAGCAATGTGAGTCGTAAAGTTAATAGAATACCTTAAGAACACTGACCTCTTCTTAAAGCTGGTCCATATGGTCCATCCATGCCGAGGCTCGCCATTGCGGGAGAGCGGAATACTTCTCTCTCTCTTTCCCGCTCTCTCCCCCGGTTCACATCGTGTATAGTGCGCCCTTGAGGGGAAACTCTCTCCCTCTCCCTCTCTCTTTCTCGCTCTCTTTCTCTTTCCCGCTCCCTTGCCTCTAGTCGTTCTCTGTCAATCGTTCGAACATCCATCCTTTCCCTTTCCCTCCTCTCCCGGTCCCTTCCAAAGCCCCACCAGCCATCCTCCCTATTAGGCCACGGCGCCCAACCTCCCGGCCCCGGCCCTGGCCCTGGCCCTCGTTCACGCTCACTTCGGGGCTCTCGAGGTAATTCTCTTGGTTCCCTAGGGACGTCACGTATTTCTCGGGGATCCCTAGGCAACTCGCGTATATCGCGCGGTTCTCGTGGCATATCACGTACGTCCCGGGGCTCCCGTGGTAAATCACGTATATCGCGAGGGTCCCGCTGTAAATCGCGTATTTCTCGTGGTTCTCGAGGCAGATCCCGTATCTCCCGGGGCTCCCGCGGGAGGTCACGTATATCTCTGGCCTCCCGTGATATATCTCGCAGATCTCGAGGTTCCCTGGGTGGTAATCTTTCTTCTTGGATCAAGCTTCTTTCTCGTGTAGGGATACGAGGCTCCCGCGGTATGCGTTCCATTTCACGAGGATGAAGTCTGTCAATTTCGCGTGGCGGAGGTCTCTCATCCCTGCGTTCCATGTCCCGGGGCGGTAAAATCTCTCTTGGGATTCTATCGTCTCTCGGTTCGCGTGGTGGCATTCGTTCAATCTCCCGTGGAGCTAACCTGTGAGCCATAAATGGACAATGTGGACGAACAGGCACCGTGCGACGTACCTAGTATCATCTCTAGGCTCGCGTAGAGGGAGTCGCTCCAATGGTCTGAACAACAGAGAGTGAATATCCAGCACGGAAATAATAGACAAAGAGCTTGCCTGTCATCTCGTCGCTCTATTTCCCGCGGTACCAGTCTTGTAAACGTCAGGCAGATAGCACAAGGAAAATGAGGAGATGGTTACCTATCATCCCTAGGTTCACGAGGCGGAGGTCGCTCAATTGGTCTGTGCACAAAAATTATTATAATACCTAATAATCAGCGAAAGGTCTGACCGATCATTTTGTCGCTCAGCCTGCATATCTCGTGGTACGAGCCTTGCTCTACATTAGTTTAGGAATAGGTTGGATGAGAGTCAAACACACCTGTCATCCCTGACATCCCTGAGTTCACGAGGTGGAAGCCTTTCAATTTCTCGAGGAACCAGCCTAAAAGAATGGCTTTAATGAACACACAATCTTTGAAAATGGAGGCCTCACCCATCTCTCGGCTCCCGAGGAGGTAGTCGGGAATCCATAGCTGTTACTTCCCTTGGTGGTGCACCAGCTTCCCTCGACAATCTCCGTTCTCTGTCCTCTCTAGGTTCTCTTGGGGGCTCGCGAACCATCTCCCTTGGCCCAGTTGGTGGTAACCTGGTCTCTACGACTCTGCCCCCGATGCCAACACCTACATCAGGGAGACGAGCAGCACCGTTAACGGCGGCGTCAGGTATCCGCCCCGAGTCAGAGAGTCTCCCTCCTCCACCCACGCCGCCCCCGCTACTACCACTACCATCGACAGCAACCCCAGGACCTGCCAACCTCGTGCTACTCCCGCTAGCAGTTCCAGGCCGTCGATCGTCAGAAGGAGAATCTTGTAGCAGCGCGGCAACATTCATTTTGATGAGGAGGTAATTTCGGCTGTGAGCAGCAACACACTGCGACCTGTTAGTGACGGTCGGCAGGCAAGAGGATCAGCGTCGACCGTCAAGATGAAAATGAAGGAAATAGCGAACACGTGGTATCGGCCCGGCCAGCCGAGCAAGGTCATACCTACAGAATATGATTAGCACATTTAACCCACATAACAGAGTCGGATATGGTGTAACGGCTAACATTGCCGCCTCTCATGTTGGTGCGCGGCAGCTCGGGGTTCGATTCCCCGTATCCGAATGTTTTAAGTCGGGTAAGATTTCGGTTTTTAAAGTGACAAGGAGTCGAGTCATCGACCCGTCGCTGCTGAACGTACGGTGCTGTCACCCATGTGTACTGTGAACTGTGACTCCGGGGTTAGGAGTTGGAATTCATGCGGCACGTTCTGGGGCAAATTACAATTTCCGACGGGGTGCATGTTCAAGTACCAAATTCGAGATTTCTCCTCTTGCTGGCGAGTACTTCGAAGGCCCATCATGAAAGCCTGGACAATCAGGAGCTGGGTTGTTGTAAGTAACAAGTGACTTTCTTGCAGCAACTTGTCGTAACCTTAGCTCTCATTAATCCATTATTTACACTGTTAGTAACTTCCCCATATTTCACACTGCCGATTGTTTAAAACATGCGTGGAAATGAAGGAGCACAGTAAGAAGACCTCGAAGATACCCAGAGTTCCGACAATAAGACATGGAAGCTGAAGCGCTTCGAATTATCAAACATAAGTCGAAATAACACAAGTCGTGACGTGGAAGTGTAAAGCCCCCGCGACGTGCCCTGTGCAGATATCGCCCTCCCCCTCATGAGGTAATGAAGTCAAATTCCTGCGCCGCGGACTTGAAAATTTCGTCCGTATATGTTACCGGGATTAACGTTGTCTGTCGATCAGCATCCGGGGGGCAGGAGTGAAGGAGGTGGCGTCGACAGGATCATTTGATGTCGGTAACCAAGACTGGAAGAGACTCGATAAAGGCCGAACCGTGGGCTACCGTGGGGCAGAAATTTAACAAGGGGGACGAATTAAGCGAACCTTCAACATACTGTAACTGGGGGACAGGATAATGATCAGCGGGCCTCACATGACGATGGCGGGTCCGAGGCGACATGCCATTTTTTAAGACGCCGGTCAGGCTTTACACTACAAAGAAGAGACCGAAGGGTGGACGTAGGGCGATGTTCTTGAGCTTGCCTGACCAGAGACTATCCGTGGAGAATGTTAATAGCTTACCCCCAATAATGGTCTGCGAAAATAGCGAAAAAATAAATGGTAAGAACCGCGACGCCAAATTCAAGCTTGCTTGACTGATCGTCCGTGGAAATGAGCGCGAAAATAGGCCATGAAATAAAAGGCCGAAAGAGCTTGCTTGACTTGCTGGTGTATGTTTGGAAAAGCGACTTCTCTCAGGATCCCGCCTTCCCTCGGTGATGTCGGCCTAGGAACGTGACCCTGTGGCGCCGTGTTTACCAGTGACTTCTCCTTGCCTCGTTCACTCCGAGTCTTGGCTTGGCGCTTACCGTGACCGTTCCATTTCTTCGAGCTTAACGTATCTCTCTCCAGTAAACTTCCCGCTGATAGTCCTTTTTGTCTTGTGGAGCTCGTTCCCGGTCCTTGTCACAAGCCCCTCGAACCCAGGTATATGTCTCGCGCCAAACCTTTCTTGTCTCGCAAAAGTTTTTTACATTTGACCCACCCCTCCTCCGCGTATGTACAGAAGGCGCCAAAATTCCGTAAGTCACGGTTTCACTTATGTTTTTAACTTGGGAGCCGCAGTCACGGGCGAACCAAATCTGATGTTTTGTGTTGTAATGGATTTCTTTTCATCTGCAGGGACGATGTCATCCATATGCCGTTCCGTGGAGGTTTCGACCTTGGTTTCCCGACGGTGTCTTGCATCCGCTTACGAGGCGACCGTTATCCAGGTTCTGTTCATGTTCGGGCGGCCCCCGTTGGGGCTTATAATAAGTGGACGGACGCTAACATCTCACGAATGTTTACTCTCTCATGTACACGCGGACCACCCGATTTTTCTGGAACTTACGACTCACTCATATATCACCGATCACCGACACCAACGCAGATGTGCATATGTTGTGCCCCAATCATTTTAACCTACCTAGGTTGTCATCATGTTTTGCTTCTCTATTTTATACAGTCTAGATCCTCCCGCTTATTTTGGTCAAGGTGGCGCCGGTTTTCAACATGAAAGGTTATCATGTCTTCGGCGATTTGAGCTGTCAAGTTTCCTCCCTGATGTTCTTCTCCCGCATCGTCTCTATACATATTTCCGGGTATGTTACTGTTGTCAACCATGTTGTTGACGGATGCTTTCTATCAAACTATTATAAGCCTCGATCCTCCCCCTCGTATATGTCGTTTCTATTATTCATACCCGATGGATGTCAGTTAAACTACTAGAATGACATGTACTGCTAACATGACAACAGAGTCTAAACATGTGTGGACTGGCCGTTGTCTTAGGCTAGTGAGGTAATTCGAACATTCAAATGAGTTAATCCCGACGGTAATGTAAGGACCTATGGAGACCTCGACGACAATTGTTGGCTTGTCCAATATAATCATCACGTAACGCAGGGTATGATTCGATAAAATTAGCAACACGCGCGCGTCTAAAGTTCTTCGAGCCTCGATCGGGGAATTTCCTATTATGTGGGTGCTTCTCGTCGTGCGTTGTGTTTTGGATTGATCAGTATCAGAAGATGAAACCGCGAAGAAAGCGATGAAGAGTCGACAGGAGGGAACTTATCGACGCTATGAAACTTGAGAAATGAGCGTGAGCAAATTGAGCGACGTGGAGGGGGAATGGCAAGATCATTTGATGTCGGTTCCTGGTACAAGGATGGAAAGAGTCTATTTCGGCGCCGGCGTGACGGTGACGGAGAAAAGCCCTATGGGGATAGGCAGTGAGGTACGAAGATCATCAGAGTCGATATCTTCAAAATGGCATGGGCGGCGGGTCAGTAGGCAGAGGGGCTAGGGAAAAATAGATGGAAAGTCCGACGGACGGGAAGGCGAAAATTGAGCGTGAGGTGGAGCATATGCACGGGCTTAACACGGACTCTATTTCAGCTGAGACAACGATGGATAGACAGGATATCGGGACATTACATTCCGAGTGACGGTGGTGAGTAATTGACGGTGGAGATAGTCATCGGTGGATATTAAGGGCCTGTTATTGGCAGCTCAGTAGACAGAGTTCGGATGGATGAAATAGAAGAAAAGAACAGAACAGTTGAATAAAGCAAGGCAAAGGCTAGTCGCTGATAGTTAAATCGGGAGATCAAAGCAATCCATTTTAGGTCGCTAGCAGCCTAATTGAATGGAGAGACATGGGTATGGTACTGCGGCGGAACATGGGTGGAGATTTGAGATGGGTGGATGCTGCGATGAGAGCCTAAGGCTGGCCATCATGGAGTCAGCGAGTGACTGCATTGGGCTGCCATTTTTCCGAGAGCCCATTCAGACATAGGAGCATCCGAACACGTACGTCTTCGGAGGCAGTAATTCAGCGAGACGTAGGCTCGATACCAGCCTGTTTCTTTCCTGGAGACCCACCTGGGCTGATGATCGTTTAATAGAACAATCGCCATATGGAATGGGAGTGGAGATTACCTGACAAGTGGCCCGATAATGGTGAAACGTGCAGCTCGAATGACGACTCGTGAGTAAGTTTGGGATAGTCTTTTTTCTCGGAGAAGAACTGAATGAAAACACGAGACTAAATGGGCCTGGCTGCCATATGGAAGACCATCCCGCGAAGCACGTACGACTCGCAGATCGGTCCTGGACTGCTGTCGGATGACACTTCTCCGCTGGGCAAGTCGCCGGTCGCTACTGGAAGCTGAGGATCTGCTACGATTGTGTAAAATCTAGGATCATAATTAATTATCGATTTGATCCGTTTCCTATTTTGTGGCCATCCGAGGAGGCGAAAAGAGGGCTGTCCGCGGGTTTGACAGCCTCGAATACAGTATATGGCTCTCTTTGAACTTTTCGAACTAGGAAGATGCTAAAAATAGACCATGTGACGCGCGTGACATACATATCCCGATAATATTTTTCATTTTGGCCTTTTCATTTTTGTTTCCGTCTGCGACAAACTCGTAACAGTTAACATAATGGCGAGCCGAATATGCAGCGGTCCGTTCATGTTAAATATCGTTATCCTTGCCATCCTCCATGACCATTTGCTTTGTTTCTCTGCATGTCGTCCCCTGCTGCTGTGCCTTCGCACTCGACATCCCCTTCCCCCGCCGTCGTCGTCGCCTCCAACGACTCCGGGGCGCGCGCCGCCACTCCCCGTGCACACTCGACGCCGCCCCGGCAAGACGTGGACGCCCCGCCCGTCTCCACATCACCCCCGACGATCAAGCGCTCTGACTCCCCGCCCCCGACGCTAGGAAAGCGGCCTCGTGCGGCCTCCGTCTCCGGCCCTGACAATAGACCACCCGTCATCGAGGATAGGAAATACCGCGGCGACAGGCCTCTCCAGCCCTCAGAGTATGAGAGCGGTCGTGTCGTATGCGAGACCTGCAGCACCAGCGTCTCCTTCCGTGACGAGCACAGCGGCGAGTTCACCCTCAAGCACTGGGATGCGCATAGGATTACCTGGTCAGTCGACTCTGCCGGCTATTTTTCGCTCATGTAGCTCATGTCTTCTGGACGTGATACAGCAGCGAGCCAAATCCGACACCGCCGCCTCCAACAAAGCGCCGTCGTGCCAAGCGCACTGAGGATGAACGCATCGATTATCTTCGGAATGACCCTTACGTCGCCCAGTTCGAGGCATACAGGGTGCTGTGTGCCTCGTGCGACAAGTGGATTAGGCTCAGGCCGAACTCGACCTACTGTAGCATACCCTGGGACGCTCACCGTAAGAGTTGTCTCGCCAAGAAGATGTATGTCCGTCACGCTTATTTCCTACAAGTATTCAATAATTTCCTAGAACCTCTAAAAACACCTATGCTCTCGAACAGCGCAACGCCGCCTTCTCAAAGGATCCTGACGTCCGCAAATTCGATGCTGAGCGCGTGCTGTGCGCCCTATGCGACTGTTGGGTGCCCGTACCCGTTCCCGACGACCGTGAGCTCTGGACTCAGCATCGTAATGCATGTCGGGCGCGCTCTCTCAGCCATCACCATCATTCCTCGTCCAACCAGAGCACCAATCAGCCGTCGCCGTCATCGTCACAGCCTCAACCTCCGCCGCAGCCGCCTCGCCGACCGACTGATTCCCCCCCAGTCCAGGCCTCATCGCAACCACCATCATCCACTCCTGCCCACGAGAGCAGGAGACGCAACGCCGAACAGCGAGCAGCTACTCTTCGCGCGGACGCCCTCATTCTCTCTGTCGAACCAAACCGGGTCTTCTGCAGCCTCTGTCAGAAATGGGTCCAACTCCGACAAGATTCGAGCTTCTGTGCCTACCCGTGGCTACAGCATCGCGGCAAGTGTTTAATGCGGAGGTACTTCGAATCCTTGATTTATTCTGATCTTTATTAATCGGAGTTCCTGGATCTAGTCAAAAACGGGCGCAGAAGGAGCGCGAACAGCGTCACTCGACTTCGGCACCGTACCCTGCCCATGCGCAGCCATCACGGCCGCGCGTGGCTGAGGTGGAGTCTGAGGAAGACGAAGATGCAGAGGGGAGCTGGGACGAGGACGTCGTTGGTCCTCGTGTCGGTGGCTCGGTGTCGTTCACACCGGCCCAACCGCCTCCCCCGAGAACCTCAACGTCATCGCCTTCTTCCTATGTCGACTTGGATAGTCCAGATGGGAGGTGAGTGCATCATTCCATCGTTACTCACGCTACCGTAATTAATATCGATTGTGATGTAGGTTATCTCATATCCATACGTCTTTGATTCACCTCTTCCGGACAACGTACTCTGTTCCTGATACGGACCTGACCGTGGCTGCTTTGGTTGGGTTTCTCAATGCAGGTATGCCAGAAGACCGGTGGGAGGAGTTTGATTTGCGCGAGGTTGTGAGAGGGGTTGGTGTCCTAGCTCGCGAATGCAGGGGAGAGAGGAGGGTCGAGCTAGAGGGTGATATTGTTAGATGGAGGTGATTCTCCACTCCTTCACCGCATAGATATATCTATTGTATTGTGCTCTTGTTATCTGTTTTTGTTTTCGTCGCTGCTTTCTTGGAAATTTGTAATGTATGATATATGGCATGTATTTTATTATTGGACTCTTATTGTTGTTACTGTAGAATTCTTTCCAAGATATATGTATTGTGTGACGCGCAGTTCGATTCTGCGAATTTGATTGGAATTTTGATTTAGGCAATTTATATCGAGCATTAACATGTGAAGGCTCCGCAACGACCGATCGGCATACACCGATGGTGAAACGGTTATCATGCTTGCCTTCCATGTAATATCTCCCTAGCAAGCGGTAGGGGTTCGACTCCCCTTCGGCGTATTCTTTTATTCTTCTCTTGACCTTGACTTTTTCAATGAGGTCAGGACTTAACGCGGCATCATGCCTGCAGTAAGGGGTGCGCACGAAACCTCCCGAGGGGGGGTAATATACTGTTTTGAACCGAACCCCCTCAGAGGGGGGTTGTTTTGATACGGTAATTTACTGTTAGTTACCTATCACGTGTAAATATCACATGATTGACGCCAAACCATTTCAGATTTTCATTCAGAATCTTTATCTTCGCGTTTTTTGTGTATTTCCCCCTCTCTTCAGCTATAATTCAGTGCAGGATATAACAGAAGAAAACTTTATCTCGTAAACATAAATTTATGTGAGTAGAGTTCAATATGAGAGTAATTTTGCTGCTCCTGCCAGCATCGTCACATGACAGGTAAGTTACCTCGATGAAAACCACTCCAGGTGGGTAGGCAAATTACCAGTAACTAACCGGTCCGAAACCCTAGGGTTTCGTGCGCAACCCTAGCTTGCAGTGTGCACATTGCATTCTGTGATATGTCGCAGTGATGGAGTGATAGCCGGGACTCGGGACTCAGCAGGCCGCTCACTGTCTTAGATAATTTTGTGGTTGCGGAGCTTCCAGATAAGTTACGGCTTTGTACCGACATCTCCTCGAGGGAAGCATTTTGATATGTTGCTTACCTTCTCGCGTGCATTTTATTCATCTTATGGACTACAATTAGTCGACTTCGCTACTTTACGGTTGTCTACATATGTACATAGGCTTTATAGTAGCTACTCTCTTCTATTTAAAGGAGTCGCTCTATGTATGAATTCATATTCATATCGTCCTTCCTTAATGATGTTGTGTGGTTGATGTTTCGTTCTGTAGTAAGGTTTTCAAAAGCGGCCTGTCCAGATCGTTGGGAACTCCGAAGGAACCTCGCTTGACCCGCATTCTTCACTGGAACGATTGTATTTCCTTGTCCACTTCGAATGACTCTATCGTGACACTTTTGTGCTTACTTTATAAGCTCCTGATGAATTCTTCCAAAACTCTACTGTACGCCTTTTGCAAGACTGTCCATGATTCCACATGCTGGTCAGCGTATCTTGATGCATCAGTACGCTTTGTGCCGAAAAACCTCCACAACTTACCCACCGTGACAGCGAAGAGGACCGCTAAAGCCTCCGCTCTCTTTCTCATGATGAAGGTGTCTGAATCCCTGAAAGAAGTAGGATCAAAGTTGTTTGTAATGAATTTTTCCGATTCGTTGAACCTGATGAATTTCATTGAAAAATAATGGATGTGTCACTATACTTGAAGCAGCTTACAGTGCAAGAAAGAGACGAAAAAGAGGCGTAGGTAGGCTTTTATATTGAATCGTCTCCTCACATCGAGCATATGCGATCATGTAGTATAGGATTAAACGAGGCCCCATAAAGCATTTCGTGAGCCGTCATTTGGCGTTTCTTAGAGTATATTGCTACCGGAACCGTACCCGTAATTCTTTGGTATCAAGGTCGACGAGACCGACAGACCTTATAGATTATCTCGATGGTGAGTTGTGTTGCATGATTCCGGTCACATTATTTTCCATCTCGTGTCGGAGCCAGAATAGCATCATACACAGCTTTGGTAGACCTTCGTGCGCGTAGGATCCCGATGGATTGGGCGCCACCGTTGTTGCGAACATATTTGTTCGTTCAACACGGCCACCATCTAACTAAGCGATGCAAATAGAGAGCATACAGTCGCTAAGATTCCGGTTCGGAACGGATGGTGATCGTATTGGGAGTTAGGAAAGTAATGAATCTTTCCCTCTTGGGCCGAATTGGCTGTGAGGATGGAAAAGCATTAAGATGATCGGAAGAAGGGAACAGGAACCGCTACTAGGCATCGGATGGTCCGTTGATGTCCGCCGAGATTCACACAGCATCCCATGAGCGGTTATATAGGGTCCTTTGCGCTCAGCCTAGCGTCAATTTTCGCACAGTAATGACTGACGCCGACCACCATGACTTTCACGACAGCGAAAGATCTTCTTCGGGCTCCCCAGGACCAGCCCAAAGTACACCGTACACTTCTCGTACGAGTTCCTCTACGCGTTCAGTGTCGCCAACACCTTCGGTCTGGTCTATGACAAGTTCATTGTGGGCAGAAGCATATGTTCAAGTGTTTGGACGCGACCTGAATAACATCTCGGAAATATACCATCTCCCCGCCGACGCCGAAGAACTAGAACGTCTAGGTGAGATTAACTTCGGAGGTTCCGAATCGGACATAACATAATTTAGACCGCCAGCACGAGATATTCAAAGAGGTGATTGGAAAATATATCCCCCCGCTGCCGCAAGTCATGGCGGACGATGCGCCTGGAGAGACGAAGGCAGTTTTGGACTTGGGTTGCGGCAGTGGTGCTTGGTAAGTTATCTCTTGTCTTGTTTCGAAATTCGATTCACCGTACGGAACCAGGATAATGGAAGCGGCGGCTGACTTTCCGCAGTGTAACGCCGTTGCCATTGACCTCGTGCCCATGCAATCACTGTATGCCCTTTCTCATTCTTGAGACTTGGAGGCTGAAATCACTGACGCGCATTGGCTTTCACTAGGAACATGCCTCCTAACTGCAGGTACGAAGTCGCGACGCGTCCACCCCTGAAACTGATTTCCAAATTGACGGCCAAGCAGGAGCGAAGTCGATGACGTCAATCTCGGGCTAGAACATTTCTACGGGGACTTCAACGTTGTCCATTGTCGGCTCATATCTTCTGGTGTAAGCCCTATTTCCAACTCGCACGCATCTTTCCTCGGATTCTATCCCTCCCGCAGATCCAAGATTACGAACATATGATCGACCAGATAAGTCATGTCCTACGGCCGGGGGGATTGATCGATCTTACGGAATGGGATTTTCATTGCTACAATGAAGATTTCCAACGTATTGAATTGGATGATGTGGCCACGATTGAAAAACCATGGTGGCCACGATGGTTGGCGTACCTCGAGATGGCTGTACGACGTAGAGGCGGGAACATTGACGCCGCGACTCATATCCATGACTGGATTTCGCGTCATCCGCGGCTTGAAGATGTGATATACAACGAGTATTTCATTCCCGCGACGCCGTGGGTCACAGACAGCACATTAGATTTGCATATCGGAGTGGCAATGAGGGAAAATATGCAGGTGAACCGATCCTAGCGTTGTCGTCACGGAGGGCCTGAATTATCATTTCACAGATACTCCTCAAATCGGGGCGGCCCTTGTTATTGGGCGGTGGCGTACCGGAACAGCTCGTGGATGAGCTGCAGACGAATGCGCACAAGGAGCTGATGGACGATGATACGCGCTATTACATACGCGTCCAAAGCGTCTACGCTCGCAAACTTCCCCGGTTGCAACCCTATGGTTAACGGAGATCGACATCGCCTCCATAGACCATAGCTGCAACATGTCATAGGTAGCCATCTCAGCCCATCTGCCACGGTTGATCGTCTTATGGAGAGACTTGAGCAACCGCCGATGCGTATAGGAGTAGTGTGTTGTGCGTGGTATATTCGCCTATGTATACGTCTGTTGAGTCGCACGGGAACGTGGTATGAGACGCTTTCGGAGCTATACAGATGACTGACATTCTAGAAGATATTTGAGGTGGAGCGCTGTACTATAGCTGTTCGTGTGATAGTGGAAATCCTAGAGGGGAAGCATCAAAGGGAATGTCGCTCTTCCCATCACTTGACACGCGGGACTAGAGGCCACCTGATACCCCCATACTTATTTTGGTACGACGTCGAGTTTGAACCCCGAGAGAGATTCCCAAGAAGATGACTTCAAGGTTCCTTTCATCCGATTGTGCCTAGTGTATGATGCTTTGGCATCGCGTGCCTAATGGCTTAATTACGAAGCGCCGAAGTAGAACAGGAAAATAGCTCACCATTTGACCCGATGGAACGTGTTTACCAAGCGGAGATGCGAATTACGCATGCGCATCGTGCATCCGATCTGACTTTATGCTGTTTGATTGCTTTTAGCACGAGACGATTCTCCGCTTTCCAAATTGAATCTGCGACGGCAGGCAATCATCCCATACAGCATCCATTAACCAGAGTCGTGCGATTGCAAAGACATCCATGTTTTATCCAAAAACATGAAACAAGGTGACAGTTGAATGCAGGTGTTTCGGTTGATGTTAGATAAGATGGGAGTGATAGGACTAATGTGAGCTAGTCTTTAGATGAACCCAATGAAGGATAGTGCCAAGGCTAATTGCATGAGAAGGGGAGGAAGTCTGATAACAAGATCAACTTCACACCGCGCAACTCGCATATCGATACTGTCGTGAAATCGGGCTAATTCAGCAATGAAATGACAGGGACGCTGCTTGAACTGGACAGCTACAACGGTCGCAGTGTCAAGAAACAGGACAGAGACGGTCCACTCGAATACCTGTACTGAAGGTACTGTGGGGAGACCGAAGAACTGCTTGTAATAGCTTGCTGAATGAGGGTGATTTCAAAGAGAAGCGACGCCGACTTATGCAGCTCGAGGAACCCGGGATGACTGGGTGATAAACGTAGGGTCGATCTCAGAGAAAGGCTAGCTAGCATCCGTATTGAGCTATGAGAAAAATAGGATTTAATAGACTCACGGAGAATAACAATATATCGACATTCCTTCAAGACCTTTCGTGAAGTGTATCGATCCTCCATACCTGATGCAATACGGAGATTAGACGCTCTCCATATTGAGCATCACCCAGGAATTAGTCCTCGTAGCTGGAAAAACCGTCCACTATGTTGCAGGTAGGCTAAAATCCTCGTAAGCGCATATCCCAGAGAATACTGAGATCCGTCGTCCTAGACCATCACCCATCCGGGATAAGCAGTAGGATAGATATATTCGCCAATCCGCTGTTTATTTCAACATATACATCTTCCAGGTTTATTTTCTTCATCGTCTTCTTTCGACTCGATGTTCCAACAGGCTCATCGACTGGATTTCTCGTCCAGATGTCGAGACTGCGCTGAAAAGCAGAAAA